TTCTACAGGAATGACCCGAGGCACACTTCGTGGAAGGGTTTGGACAGATATCCTTGTACGCAAAGTTATAATAAATTCAAAGCGAACGAGGACACGCGACCACGGTTCTCGGGTTACGTCTGGATTTTGCATGGAATATTCCACGCGCGAATTCAAAGCCCTTGCTTCGTGCTAAAAGTGTCTAAAAGCAGGCTGCTAAAGTACGAGTCGCCGCCAGGTGATACTGAGTCGCGGGTAAGAATAGAACGCGGGATTTCTCTATCGCGACTTTTCTTCGGAGTTTCACGAATGACCCGCCTTGGAAGTGCACACACGACTTTACCGTGTCTGCTTTGTCCTAATTTCGTCGAATATTATCTTCAGCTTTTGTCTTTACCAAAGTACGCGATTGCGTGTACACGTAGAAAGATATTATACTGCATTCAAGTAAAGTAGCATTTTATGTGTCTTGCACTAAAAAGTATCAGAATAAAATGAAAAATATCTCACAAAGTATTTATTTTTCGGTCGTTTTATTTGAGTACTTTTACATACAGAATGTGTGTGTGATTAGAGGAATTAATTTGTATTAGAGAAACTTTATGATTTTATCTAAAAAATTAAAATAATCTTGACAAGCCTCTCCAAAGTCACTTTAATGTCAAATGAATATTATCATTCTTTCCTTCTTGATATAATTTTTGTATAACACATTTTTTTATAATATCCTGTTTGAGAGATCTAAATTGTACAACTAGAGTAATATCCTGTTTTTAAGATATTTGAGATATACAACTAAAATGAAACATATATTCAATATGTTCATATACATTATACATATTATTTATATTATATTATTTACGTTATATTATTCATTATATTATACATTATATATCATATATATTATATATATGATTATATATGGCTATACAGAGACAAAATTCATATTGTAATATTGTAATTCATATGTAATCATATCTTTTTGGGATATTGTTCCCAAGTGTGTAAGATGTTGAAAAAATGTACAGACCGAAAAAATACTGTTTATGTAACATTTAATCTTTAACACAAAATGGAGAAACTAACGAAATTTAAACAAGAAATTTCTAAAGTAACTCGACAGTTGATATATTAACGATAATTATGCAAAATATGCGGTCAATGAATACTTTATGACTAAATGTCATCCATGAATATGCGCATTCGTTCTTCGAATCACTTAAGAACTCATTTTTACATATTGTCACTTCAATAGTTGGACTCTTTATGTTCACTTTGCACGAACAAGTAATGTTCACCGAATGTCACGACGTTGTTCTCGGCAATTTGTCACTTGTCGCGATCTCAAACAAGCTAATACAAAGAAACATGCGTGAGCTTACGCGTCACCTTATCTATTATTGCATCAGAAAGGATAAAATTCGTTTCCGCACGCATTAACATAAATGTCGACGTGAATGAAAAACACGGCAGATCATTCTTCATCCTTTTATGTCGTTTGCAAAAAAGACCGTTATATAATATCGCGAGCGTTTATTTTAAATAAATTTGTCGATTATACATACACCCAGTGCTCTTCCATTTTTAGAATTAATCATATTCGATCTTCGCGCGAAACGTGATCCATTTCTACATTTCGAATATATTTACGATATATTAATTTGACTAGCGCTACCGAATGAAGCAATAACCGATAATTGGGTTAATTAGTCGTACAGATAGTCAGCAAAACGCTGGACAGTTCAACTGTGTCGCTGTTAACCGTGTCGGATAATTTATTCGTCGGACGCGTAAAAATTAGCGATTGATAAATGAGTGTACAAAAATCTCGTATTTGAAGCAAGCACACATCGCGGGCGTGCACGTGGAGCGAGCTCTGTTTCAAAAGTACCGAAAGAATTAAAGCTTGTAATATTTTGGCAGTCATACGCATCGTAATTGGGTTTTGCTGATGGGATTATAAATTTTACACGGTACTTTTCGCACTCCTGCGGTACTCATCCGCGCGATTGTCCTTCGCGAATAACGCGAACACTTCAACGTGAGCCGGCGCGATACGCTGCTAGTCATTCCCGATGCTGCAATTTATTAATGATGTTAATTCTAGGCGGAACAAAGGAAATATCTCGCTGGCGGCTATCGATATTGCGTTTGTAAAATATGGATTATGCGCGAGATGTCCGTAACAGGTGCACGAGCGGCCTCTCGATATAATAATACAATATTCTATGTCCCATTATACGTCGAGCCGGATAAATTTATTACGAGTCATAAAATCCTGCGCGACAAACAGGCCGTGTGCATTCCGAAGAATGCGGCCTGCGCAAAAAAAAAAAAATTAATAAATCGCATGAAACTTGCAGACTACATATATTCAGTTTTACCGAGAGAACTTCTATCCTTGTTAATTAGTTTGAACTAATAGCCGCTCTTATAGCAGCGAGTAAAATAACGTACGCACAATTTTTCCTTATTACATGAAATTGAGGCGAATTATGCACCGGCGCACATGAGAGAAATATGATATGTGTTTTTAACAGGAGCGAGTCTCAAACGAACATTTTTTTTCCAAGCTAATACTATTTCACATCCGCTTTTCCTTCTCCTCGTTATGCAATTTCTATTAGACGGAATTTCACCGCGATGTTACGCAACTGTGAACCTTGTATGGGGTTACATCCTCGTCGCCAATTGGTTCGGCCAACTTGAAGCTTTGACGGGGATGCGAAGCCTTCGCACAGATCTTATGCAGCTTGCGCAACGCGCTAACTCGCTCAGTCTGATTTTTTTGCGAGTCACCTGTTTTCGCCCGGAACGGAAGCAATAATTCCCCCACGGCCAGCGGCGAAGTTAACGAGATACGAGCTACGCCCGTTAACTTAACACCGGCCAAATATTATTTTTGCAATTCCCGCTGAATCCCGCTAACGAGCGCACGCTCAGTAAAAGCGCTGACGCTCTTTCTCTCTCCACCTTTCTCCGCCTCTCTCGTCTCCTCTCTTTTTCTCTGCCTTTCTTCCTTTTTCTGCATCTCCATTTCCCTCTCTAATGTCGTACGTGCGTTAGATTCTCTCAACCATCAAACGCATTGATCCGTTGTTTTGTAATAATCTCGACGTATAAATACTGGCTGAACCGAATATTATGATTTTTGGTAACGAGAAAAAGAGAGAGAGAGAAAGAGAGAGAGAGAGAGAGAGAGAGAGAGAGAGAGAGAGAGAGAGGGAGAGAGAGAGCGCA